CGCTTCCAGCATCTTGTTCTGTATCTTGTCGAATTGCTTGATCTTCTTGAGTTGATGGGGAAGAAGCTGAAGTACGCGTAGGGGAACTCAGAGGAGGGGTTGGAGGAGTAGGCGTCGCCTCCAAAGTTGGCGTCGCTTGTTCTTCCGCTGGCAGCACTCGTTCAACCGGCACACGACGGCAGGCCAACGCATACGCCGCATCCTTTCCCATAGGGGCCCTTGTTGAGAGAGATGGCAAAGGTTGGAGCTCGAGCAGCCCCCGACGACGTCCAAATTTCATGAGTTCTTGTTCACCTGAGCATACATTGTCAGTACTGTGAATATATACAGCGAGCTGTCTACAGAACGTACCGACGAAGTATTCGACTCCACGTTTCTCAATATTCAATCGGCCAGTCACACCAGGCATCACGTACGTGTAGTCCACGCTCAGCCCCTTTGGCTTCCTCGATTTCCATCCTGCCTTGGATAGCTCGCGCCATAGCTGCTTGAACGGTTTCTCGTTGGGGGCGTTCATTTCGAATGAAGCTGAAATTAGTGGTTGCCACCACCTACAGAAATAGCATGAAACTGAATTTTCAAAACCTCCAGTCATCTTATACTGTCTTTTCTATCCTGCTCGAATTATACCTGGCTATCTTCCCATCGAAGATCCTTCAAGATCAAACTACCCATCTCTACCCTTTACAAACAGAAGTATGCGAAGAATTCTGACGATTGTAAGTTCGCTGGATATTATGTCCTGTTATAAATCTTATTCTGTATTATACAGAGTAGCGCTGTAAAGGGGTTAACAAGCCCCTCCAGCTTGCGTTGTCAGATCTCGCACGTCGGTCGGCCTTATCGCTGTCTGAATTTGTGGAGCTGGTTCGAGGGCAAACTACGAGTGATTACCGGCAAAACAAGAACATGGTGCCGACTGTCTTAGGAAATGTGTGCAAGGGCTACCGCCATTTGGATCTGCTCCAGAAAATCGTTCAGGAAGGTGTCGAAGTTAAGCTGAAAATGTCTCCGCCTCGTCAGTCTGTTCGTCCCCCAAATCATGGATCTGCACGTGATCGGCTCAACATCTTGCGCAAGAACATCCGAAACAAGCAAGA